TCGATGATAAGTTGTAGACCGAATAATATAGTAACTTGTCAATATTATTCGTAATCAAATTCTATTAATCGTAATATTAATCAAAACCTCAAACCCCCTCTTCATTGTTTCGATAAGTTGGTTAAATAATTCAAGAGTCCTTGCGATATGACTCGGGTTTCACTTCTATTTTACTACATTTTTAATTCTCGTTTTTTACCCGTGTGCGACAGCAGATCCAATTGATGTTGTTGTCGGGGACTCTATGTTAATATTAGTCAATTTTAGAATCATAGTTAGAGTATTGTTGACAATTTTTTTTTGTCTTTTCTTTGTTTTTGTTTGTTGATTTTCAGGGTTACAGTATAGTGATAACTATCACAGCCTATTAGGTGACTCTTTAAGCTAATGTTTCAAATTACTTCGAATTCTTTTTCAAAAAATTATGAAAAAAACTCAACAAACATTACTCCCTTTGAAGAAACTTCTATGGGATTTTGACCATCAAAATCGTAAATTCCTCGTTTTTTATTTTATTTGAATTTGTTTTCTATTTTTATATTTTCAAAAAAAATTGTAGACTCGTTGTTTTATTTTATTTCATTTTTAGTCATGTTTTCATATTTTTTAGACTTTATTTTAATTTTTTTTCATTAGATTTTATTATTCATATTTGATAGTGATTTTATTTGACTTTCTGTTGATCCAGTGTTAATTTGATTTTGATTTTGATTTTATTAGTCATATTTGATAGTGATTTTATTTGATTACGTGTAAATTTGATAATTATATCATGGTTGATCAAATTAGAACCTTAAGAGGATTTGCTTCACGTGATTCACTTTTGCTTATTTTCCTTCTTTGTCTGATTACAATGACAATTATATTTGTGATGTTTGTACTGATAGAGTCACCTATATTCATTTTGTACTAAAATTGAAGTTGTTTTACAAGGTGATATTTCTTATGAGATTTTTACAAACAAAGTTGGTGTTGCAGATATAAATATATCTTTTGGTGCCAAAATGTCACCATCTATTTAGCAACCACCTACTTTAGAGTTAAAGCCACTCCCTGTATTTTTAGAATTTAGTGGAAAAAATTCTGTAATAATTTTATCTAAATTTGAATATGAATAAGAACAGAAGTTGTTACAAGTATTAAGGGAACATAAGAAGGCAATTGGATGGATCTTGGTTGGCATTCTTGGTATTAACTCATCAATGTGTATGCATCAGATCTTTCTTGAAGATGGAGTAAAAGAAGTGAAGCAGCCCCAAAGGCGACTTAACCCCTTGATTTTAGATGTTGTGAAAAATGAGATCTATATTGCACTAGAGGAAAAAAAGAAAATCATTTTCACTTTCTCATTTGACATTTTTACCTATAGAAGAATATTCTTTGATCTTGAAATAAAAAGCGAAGACACTAATAAAAATTTCAAATTCAATGGAGATTTACTCATCACGTTCGAAGGTTTGGCATTCAGGCAAGATTTGAAGACTAGAGGATTGTTCAAAGGTGGTGCCGCAATCGGAGGTTTACTCATCACGTTCAAAGGACTTGATTCATCTTGAATCAAGGGAAGAGAAGGCACAAACTCAACATCAACGTTTGGGATTGAGTGTTTGAATTCTATTGCTTCTCTTGTAAAAACAATTTGCAACAGGTTATATATACAGGTCTCAATTCTATTTTTAGAATTGAGGGCAAACATACCCCGAGCGAGGACGGCGGAGGAACTGTCTCAACAAATTGATGTTCTCTCTTTTTACTATTTTCATTGATGAATTTTGAGTTTGTGTGCGAACATATTAGTTGACTAAAATTCTAGTGTGTTAGTGTTGAAACGTTTTTAGAAACCTCATTACAATTCGTTTGATTGCAATCGGAAAAGCATAGCACTTCATTCACTTATTGAATTTTACTTGAGGTGCTTTGCACACCAAGTATTCGACTAATTGTGTGAATACTAACACTTGAGTTGTTTTTCAATTTGGTTTATATTTCACAAGCATTGGAAATTGTCCAACTTTGAGTGAACAAAATCCTATTGATTTGTGTTCAAATTATTGTTTCTAATTCTCGTCTTTATCGATATTCCATATAGGCGTAGCGTATATCCGATCTCTTCGGTAAAGGTTCGTTTAGACGAGTATAGTTCCTCGGCCGCTTCCGCTTAAACCTTTTAAAAATCAAATTATATTAAGTGTCGACTCTGTTTTAAATAAGTGATCTATTCAACACCCCTTCTAGATCATTGATGTCGTCTACACCAATTCTTCTGCGCCTTTTGCGCGAAGCTCGTAGTTTTCGAGGTGCGACAAAACCATCTTACTAAAAAGTAGGGGTGTTCATGGGTATGGGCCAACCCGCGAACCCACTTACCCAAACCTTATTTTTGCCCAACCCAATCATGTATAGGCCCAACCCAAACCAACCCATTCAAGCCCATTGATATTTGGCTCGAGTAATAGTTTTGAAGTTTTAAATCCACGAACCCGCGAACCCAACCCATTGATATGTCACACTATTTTTATTTTATTTTATTTATAAATTATCTAGCATAATTCTTACAATGCATATATTTTTTTATTAATTATAAAAACCTAAGTCTAAATCAAATTTGAGAGATCAATTTTATTTATTCAAAGAAAGAGGTATCTTACCTTTTAAATTATACTTTACACCATTTGTATATTTTCCTAACTTTATATGAATCGTAGAAGAGTTTTTAGGCATTAACCAATAAATTTTATTCAAATTGAATATTAAAAGTTTATGATTTTTTAATATTTTTGTAATATAAATGTGTTTATTAAATTGATATATTTTATTTAGAATTTGAAAATTATATTTAGTGGATTACTCGTGAACCCAACTCAACCCATTGATGAACATGTTGGATTGGATAGGGTTTACTCTTAAAAGTACGGGTTGAACACTCAACCAAACCCAAAAAATATTGATCGGGTCGAATATTAAATTTAATCAAATTAGATCCAACCCAACCCGCAAACACCCCTACTAAAAAGGTTTCAGAATTGATGCAGCGGTAAAAGATGATTGAGAATCTGCTCATTAACCGACTTATATCATTGTAGTGGGATTCTATTGAGTCAAAGTTGATGACACACTTTCGTCTGTATAGGACATGTTATGAGGTTAGGGCAGAAGGTTATAAACCTTTATGCTAACGATATTCAAAAAATTTATGAGCTGATCTGCAACTTGGTTACTCTTCAAATGAAAGATTAATACTTATCAGAATATTTAACTCATGCCCAGTCTACTATTGATGACCTCAAACTTATGGTGGTTAGTGATGATATTATGAATGTACTAGTAAAGCTTGACAATATGTTTATGGTGTTTGTTCTTCATGGTCTACCTAACGAATATAGTTTGGTTAAAGACCAGTCGGTTACAAATACTACCATCCGTGCGATAGAATAACTAAATGATCGTCTTGTTTGAGTATCTTTACCAAGTGATGACACTCATACTGCTCCTGAGTCCTCTGATTTTATTTCTAACTCTAGTAGTGGAGGATGTGGTAGAGGTAACTTCTTTGTACTCATTGCAGGAAAGATGGACACACTTATCGGTGCTTTAATTTACAGGACTTCCTGGAAAAAAACTGCCAATGTTGCTTAAATCGCTATAAATCTTGAGTCAAATGGTGAACTCGAAACTACTTTTTATGTCGATGAACATAAAGAGTATTTGTAGTTGAAGCCATCACAACACACCACATTCTCGCCTACCATTGCTCATACTTATAATTCTACGGTTTGTCTCTCTTACACTACACCTACTAAATGGGTTATAGATTATGGTGCTTTAGACCATGTGACCAATAATGCCTAACTTCCGGAATATCACTACCTAAATATTCACACTATATTACTGTTGCAGATGGATCTAAAGCAAGGCAATTGGTGTCGGGCCAGAATCACACCCTCTCTCTCTCTCTCCCTCTCTCGTGTCGGGCCAGGATCACACTCCCTCTCTCCCCTTCTCTCTCCCTCTCTCGTGTCGGGCCAGGATCACACCCTCTCTCCCCTTTGTTTTATTGATTACTAATGTCTTTTCAATTTGATTTCTATAAGCAAACTAATCGAACTCTAATACTAACTTAAATATTAATTTTTTTAGAGAGAATACACATATATCTAAGTCTTCTAATTAACCCCACTAATCAGAGAAAAAAAGATATTCTAAGAAAAAAAGATTATATACAATAATATCCTAAGAATAGAAGCAATAAATGACTACTAATAAAACAATATCTCAATAGATCTAATGTTCAAATACATTAGCATGAGCTAGAAGATGCTAAATTACATAAGTCGTTATTTTATGGATAGCTGATACACTTCCCCCCCCCCACCCCCACCACCACCCAGCCACACTCCATTGCTAATTTTTAGTAGCACTGTATGGCTTTTATCATTGATGTTCTTATTTTTCTCATCATTACATCGTTCTCTCATAAAGTTGTGGTCATGTTACTGTTTTGCTTCAATATGGTCCTCTTTACAAGCAACCTTTAAACCTAAGGCTTGTGAGACCTTGATAGTGAGGCCAACAACAACAATTTAGTTTCTCCTGTTGAAATATTGTGAGGTAAATCAACTATACTTTCTAACATATGTTAAGATTAATGCCTTTAAACTCACCACAACAGATCGTTAGTTATTTTGAATAATTAGAGATCGTGAGGGAACCAAACATGTTACCACATGGAATAGTTCAAAATTCATTACAATATAGAAAATATTTGACAACAACTACTACAAGACCATTGACTTTAACAAGTTTAACTTAACTAAAATTGCACTATCAAAGTTTAATATTTCCCATCATCTGCATTTCTCCACAGCTACACTGAACTCCAAAGTGGAAGTTGCAGTCACTTGAAACTATCCACTAGAAAGAAAGAAACTGAATCTAGAATTCACATTGTCCTCTCTTGTTAGCCTGCTGAAGCAGTTGTCTGTTTAAAGGCTCATTACTAGTCACAAGTATTGCTCTTGTATCCTCGCACGGTTCTCTTCCCACCATAACCTAGCACGTGTTTCTCCGAACTTCTCTCGGCTGCGTAAAAGGATACACACAAAAAAAAGAATTAATTAGATGTTTTTATTGAAAAGGAATTTATTTTCCATGCCAACGATTTCGGCATACCTGAAGCGGACACGCCTGAGTTCTCTGGTTCCACCTGGTAGTGCTCTGATAGTGATGTATACTCCTGGTTCATCCTGTTCAACCCATTCGGTTTCCATATCACTGGCATTGCTGATTGAGAGCTCACCTGAGTGATCATTTTCCTCTTCTGAGGAACTCGTCCTTACAGAAGCATCCATGGATGATCTTTCAGTCTTTGGCACACCAATGTCGGAAAGATTAGGTTTTGACGCCAGACCGCTTGTTTCATAGCAAGGCTGTGGTTGCATATGGTGGTGTTCCAGTGAATCTGATGAGGAGTAGCCCATTCCTGTTGGGTGATGTAAATGACGGGGCAGACGCTCTTTGCTTAGAGGAGGTGTGACTGGGCTATCCCTAGCAGATTCAATCTTTGAACTCTGAAAACAAGAAAAAGACCGTTGCCTAAACACCAACTTAATATTCTAAAAAAATTGCTCATGTAAATACAAAAGGTAACAGCCCACTAACTTCATTGTATCTTTTGTTATAGAAACAGCTTAAACATAGCAATTATATGACTAGAGTTTATGCTATAAGCGCTTAATTAAATTATTTATCCAAACCAGTCTTAAGGAGGAATCCAATCCTTAAACACATCCCACTGATTCAAGAGGTTTCTATGTCAAATATCTCAAGTTCAGGCCTCAAGCATGAGTATATGTAACTTGAGACAAGTTACTCAAGACAAGATGCATTCTGCACGGATTTACTTTTGGAATAGAAGTTCAATCATGGAATTCTTTAACATCAAATTGTTACAAAAAGTGTATTCTTACCTCATCTTCAGATATAGGTGGAGTTGGAAGAGGAACGGCTTGTTGATTGAACCTTTGAACATTGTACAACTCCATAACTTTGTCATAGTTTTCTGCCCACCACCTCTGGGCTTGCCATTTATTAAACATTTCACGACTGACCAGAAAATATAAAACAATTAATTTAATCATCTACAAGATTAAATCAAGGGAAATTGACATAACACTCGAGTTTATATCCCTTAGTTAAAAACTTTGGATATGTATTGACAGAAAAAAGTATAAAAAGGAAACTCTACTTGCTAAGGACCAGATGACTGATACTCGAGATAGGCAGTAAAAAAACGAAACAAACCAAAATATTCATAAACAGCCACCTCCCCCTTTTCAGAGAAGCTGTTTACAGTTCTGTCATTGAATAGCAATTATTTACCAAACTACGAACACAGGGATGTTATGCACATATTTATACACCAGACAGTATCTGCTCTAAGGTCCACATAGATTTGTGCTGTTTCCACAACCTCCATATTGTTCTAATTTGAGTTTCCACAGTCCATAATTGTTTCAAGATCAGCTTGAGTGTCTTCAAATTAATTTCAAGACTAGCTTAATACAAGTATAAACTTTTATGAAAGATGTGCCTAAGTGATAAAAGAGCTCAAGGGTTATCGCAACAAAAAAAAAAGTTGTTTGCTATTAATTGAATTTATAAAATTAATCAATATCCTTACTGTATATGATTCTTGTTTTTTAGTTTTCTTTCCTATTCCAATTTGGTTGCAATTCCATAAATAAATATTACTCAGGCACAGAACCAAGCTAGGCATTTTGCTTTGCATAGCTTCCTTTCCTTTTATTTCCCTTTTTTTCAATCTTCTTTTTCTTTTGGCCTTTTCCTTTTTCTTTTGTGAGCTAAGAGGAGGGAGGGTATTTGAATGATCAAGCTAGGAGATAAAAATCCTTTTTGCTTTTGTCACACTCTACTTCCACAAGTGAAGCATGTGTTACTGACAATGAAACAAAGCATCGGTTCTCCAAAGAGACACAATACAAACAAGATAGATCCTGCCAATCAAGAATCTGTACAGCCTTTAAAAAGCATGTGATCTATATAGCACTAACACAAACATGATACTCAAAGTAACACTAGTAATAATTTGAAAAAATGAAAATAATTGAATGTAAGTACGTGTGTCGGTGTCGGTCACTAAATACGCCTTCAGTCTGAAGTGTCATTGCTACATGGCATGTGATTACTCCCAAATAAACATAATTAAGTGCAAGATCAAAGAAGAACAAGAGAAAGTTTAAAACCACAAAGGACAAAGCCACAATAATTCTAAAGCTAGCTACTCTCTACCATAAAACAAAGCATGTGATTTACAACAACTCCAACAAATCAAAAACCTTGTACAAGTCCCAAGATACAAAAAAAGGTGGAGAAGGGAAGTACCTGAACCGTATCTTCTTGAGATCATTCCCACCTTGAGGCAATGAAACAAAAGTAATAAGCACACCAGGTTCAACTTGTGCAACCCATTCCTTAGGTTCATCCTCTTCTTCCATGAACACAACCGACTCAGTACGACCGCTAACCGATGTTGGTGTTGCTTCTCCACTGGAAATCCCTTTGAGTCTAGCTTCCATTTCCTTCCCCCACATTCTTGGTGTTGAATTCGCACTCCCGGTTCTTCGGTAAGCCCAGTTGAACCTTGCTGAATCTGACCCCATATCAGAATCAGCATACTTTTTGTTCTTGTTGCCATTGGAAGATCCTGAACAAGGCTTGCAATTCTTATAGGCCCCAGAAGCCTTAACTGCCATGTCCTTGATCTGAAAAAAATAAATATAAAATCCGTCACAAAAATCACCTCTTGAGAAGAAAAAAACAAAAACAAAATATCAAAAAAGACAAAAATTAGTTGTTTTAATTTCATATGGATCACTAAAATTCAATGATACATGAAAGGAACAGAACCCTGTATTTCTGCATAACTAACAAATTCCATTTCAGCAAAAATAATGGAACTTTGATTCTCTTACATAGCATCCAAATATAAGGATTCAACATAATTGTAACACATTTTATCATAAACAAAAACATGTGTATGCATATTATGGATTATGCACTTTACCTGAGCTGTGAGAGTCTTGATGGCTTGTTTGGTGCTAGGTGTTTGCGCAGCTTCTTCCTCCTCTTTTTGATGAAGAGATCCATCATTGAGTTGCTTTGAACAAGCTATGCAAGTCAGCATTTTCGATTCAAATCACTTGATTTTCCACTCCCACTTCTAAATGTCAAAACAGATAACCATGTTACAATTCCAAAAAAACCAATGATATTGCACCAAGGAATGAAACTTGGTAGCAACCAAACAAATAGAAGATCTGGGGTCAATTAAAAAACAAAAACTCCATTGAATCAACGAGTTGTTATAAACCAAAACAATGATCCTACAAAGAATGATGACCAAAATCAACACACCAACAAACGTTAGGAATAGATGTGAAAGATCTACGAGATCAAAATGCATAAAAAATGAATTTTTATTTTTATATAAACAAAAGCTGTTGGAGTGAATTGGAGTGTTTCTCTGTCTGTAAGTCAGAGGAGAAGACTAAACATAAACTGAGTGAGACATAAGAACAAACACAAGGAATGCAAGGAAGTAAGTAAGAAAAAAAAGAGTACCCTTTGGTTTCTTTTGAGTGTCACTCCTGAAGGGTCATTGAGATTTGGGGTGTTTAGGTGGGTGGGTGTATCTATCTGTGTAAGTATATATATGTATATAGGTTCAGAACGTGTGAGAGGTAGTGAGGATTGGCGTGGTGGGTTGGTCCCCTATGTGTCTATTCTATGTGTAACTTGTTGTGATAGTGTTGTTGTTGTACTTAAATGTATAGATGTGTATATATAGTGAGAGAGAGAGAGAGGAGAGAGAGAGAATGCGCCACCCTATTCTCTCTCTCATGGCACTCTCAGGTAAATCAAAGAGAGAAAGGAAAAAAGGTGAAAAATGGGAATGTAGCGGCGTGATGGTATGTGCTTTGTTTGGCGCAACACAAAAGGGAAATTTTCTGCTAATATAGCAGAACCTTGATTTGATTCACTTCATTTTGATATATTTTGAAAATCGGATCGGATCGGTTCAATGAGTTGGATTGAGAACCAATTAGTATGTCAGATAATTTATCAATTAAATTGAAAATCTATTAACATGTCGATTAGTCAGATCTCAGATGTATTTTGATTCAATTAATTGAGTCGAAAATTAGAATCGAATTCACACTCTTGTAAAATTGCTTGTCAATTAAAAAAATAAAATCAAATTTATTTTGAATTGATTTTGAGGTGTTTCTTCTCGACTATAATTGATTCTATTTGATAGAAAACAAGAAAGTTGTCAATTTCTATTTATTTTATTTTATTTTGTAAAATAATTTAATCTTTCAGTATCAAGAATTTTTTTATTCTTCTGTAAATGTTAGAAATATCAAAACTCATTTTTTAAAGTTTTAACTTTTGTATTATTAATATGTTAGACCAACTTGAATACATCGAATTAATTGAATTATGATGTAAATATTAGTGATTTGACTTTTAAAATAGCTTTTAAAACATTGATTGATATGCTACACATAAATCAACATCCTTTTGTGTTATTGTGTGTATCATTAATTTTATTGATTTTGTCATATTAAATTTATAATGGAATTTATATATAACTTTGATTTAATATCAGTAATCTATTTTTTTAATTATTTAATAAAATGTTATTAAATTTAATTGATTTTTTTGACAAAAATATAATTAATTGAATCAATTAAACTTTAAAATAAATGCTTCATTGGTTCACCCCCTTCCCCCATTTTTAAAACGTTGTATTTAACTTAGTTTTTTTTTTCCATTTATTTATTTCTTATAATGTTAATTTTAGTATTAGTTTTTTAATAAGTTAGATCAACTTTTTTTAATTCATTGAATTATTATGTAAATGTTAGCATATTTGACTTTTAAAATAGTTTTTAAAATATTAGGATATGTCATAACTTTCAAATATAAAGTTTTTTTAAGAAAATATCATAAAAAAGAAGATAAATAATGTGATTTAAAAGAAAATCAGGGATAATTTGGGATTTTTACACTCAATTAAGTTAAATAAGTAGCTTTTAGAAAAAGTAAGCAAAAATGGATTTTAATAATTAAAAAAAAGTTAATATTTTTTTATCATAATGGTCTAATTTTCAAAGGAGTGCAATCTAGATTTTCATAAAAAAGTTAAATGATAATAATTAATGATTATTTAAATTTAAAATCGATTTTATATTCTTCAAACAATTAACTTATAATTAGAATTAGTTAATTTTTTGAGCTCATTTGCTTGATTAAATAAAATATAAATGATTCTAAGATAAAGTTGTTGGAAAATTAAGAGACGTGATATTTTGATTTATGTGGAGGCATATCAATCAATGTTTTAAAACTATATCTTAAATTATTTATATTTTATTTAATCCAGTAAATGAGCTCAAATAATCTTAAATAATTTAGTTAATTTTAATTTGACGTAGTATTTGGAGTTAATAGTTGGTAATTGAGTATTTATTGATTCACCTAATTTACTTTTAGACATTTTCAAATTTGAATAGTTTTCTTTTTATAAAGTGTTTATATATTTCTTAAAGGTTTTAATTGCAATCTTATTCAAATATGATTATTGGCTAATTATCTGTACAAAGATTAAAAAAAATTAGTTCGTTAAATCAACTCAGTTGATAATGTTGAAATTCAACAATAATATATGAAAAATTACGCTCAATCTTAATCTCAAGATTGTTATCAACCACACAATGACAATTAAAATATTTAGAAAGAAAGAAACATTGGAGAAGAAGATGAAAAGCCCACAAATTGTGGTATATTTTCTTATTTCACTTGCAACTGCAAACTGTGAATACAATGATGAGTTATTTACAAAATAAAGGTTTCTCCCTATTTATATATTTAGATTAGCTTGCACCCCAAGTCAGAGCTCAAAACTATAAAAGTACAAAATAACTAACATTACTAAAATAAGCATAAGTTGACATCGTGTGTGAAGTTACCTGCTTCGACACACTAATTAAACTTGACACATACACATTAGATTAATTTGATTAGACCTTGTTTCTGTCGAGCTACACTGCTTCGACACAAGGAATTACAAACTCAACACACCATCAAACTCATTGTGTCTAAGCTATCTACACTCATCATAAATCTTAGCTTCTTGAACACTCTGACTTGCACTCCCTTCGTCATGATATCTGCAATTTGATTCTCAGTTCTGCAGTGTTCCAAATTCATCTTCCCTTCTGCTGTTGAGCGTTGAGTGGCACCACCACATGCACAATCCCTTCTTTCTCACATAATGCATCAAAATTCTTCGACACATACTCTCCACCACCACCAGTCCTCAGAATCTTTATCTTTTTTTACCACTTTGCCTTTCGACCATAGATTTGAATTTGGGAAATACCTCGATCACTTCACTTTTCTTCTTGATCAGATAAGTTCATAGTTTTCAACTGAAATCGTCTATGAACGTGACAAAGTATTTGTTACCTCCAATTGAATCCACCTGGATAGGACCACATACAACTAAAGCATATGACTTTGAGAATTGCCTTTGACTTGCTTCCTGCATCCTTGCTGAAGTTATTCTTGTGTTGTTTCGGCTGAACACATTCTTCACACACTTCACTTGGAATGTCGATTTCTGGTAATCCTGAAATCATATTTTTTTCCCTTCAAATCTCTAGTGTATTTGAAATTGAGATGACCAAGTCGATAATGTCATATCCATTCACTCAGATGGCTACAATTGCAAGGCACTTATGCTCCATCACATTAAGTTCAATCTTGAAGGTCCTATTTTGAGACATTGGGCCCTTCAAGATCAACCTACCACATGCGTCAAGAACTCTCATCTTTTTGTCTTCGATCGACACCTTGTAGTTCTTTTCGACCAACTGCCCTATACTGAGCAAATTACTTTTCATATTTGGTGTGTACAATACATTAGAAATTGATGATTTTTTGCCATCTTTCCTCATAATCATAACACCACCAATACCTTCAGCTGCTAGAGTATTGTCATTTGCAAATTTCACCATATTCTATTAAGGGCTTCATGTTGACAAACCAATCTTTCCTCCCAGTTATGTGTGGTGAACATCCTGAGTCCAAGTATCATTAGTTTTGAAATCTTTCTTCATCTCTTGTTGTGACCATCAACAACATCTCTTCTTCTTCATGTTTCGCAAGTTTTGCATCAATTTCTTGATTCTTCTTCTTTTCTTGACGCTCACTAAAACAGTGACCATACTTCTAAACAATTGAAATACTAAATGTGAATTTTGTTAGGTTTTCGAACACCACCTCTTCCTCTACCTGCAGCACCACCTCTTTGGTTGCCTTGGTCCAAAGGTTTTCTCTTATTCGACCAGTTTTCTTCCTGCTGATTTCGACCAGTCGAATTGTTGTAGCCTCCTCTACCTTTGTTATCATTCTAGCTTCCTTTGTCTTTCTTTTCTTTTTCTGACTGCGCCTGCAAAGTCATATCACTCATCGAATTTCTTGCAGCTCTTTCAGCCATCCTTTGTTCATGAGACTCAAGCGTCCCTTGAAGATCTTTCTTCGTCAATACTGACAAGTCTTTCGACTCTTCTATGACTACTAACACATGGTCTAACTTTGGAGGCAATGACCTCAAGATCTTTGCAACAACTGATCTTGATGTCAACACTTCTCCATATACCTTGATTTGATTCACCAAGTTTATAACCCTAGTGAAGAAATCTGTTATATTTTCACTTTCTTCCATCTGAAGCAACTCATATGTTCTTTTGTGAGTTTGTAACCTCACCTCTTTCACCTTCTATGCTCCTCCAAACGACTTCTCCAGAATTTTCCACGCTTCCTTCGCTGATTCTACATCACTCACCTTTTCAAAATTATCTGGATCAACAAATTGATGGATTATAAATAGAGCTTTATAATATTTCTTCTTCAATTCTTTATGTGCAGCCTTTTCTTGAGTTGTCGTGTTCTCTGCAAGCGGTGTTACTCCTTTCTTCACAAGATCCCAAAGATCTTGATAACAGAAAACCACCTTAATCTACTTGCACCAATTCTCATAATTATCTTTCTTGAGAATTGGAAGATTTGATGAAAAATGCATGTTTGAATGATTTATTGTCGTCACAGTTTTAC